TTGTTATCACTGCAAATCTGGGTCTGGGCCAGCAGTGATTTGTGCTCATCAGCACATCTTTGACATTAAAATGGTTATGCAAACTAAATTGGTGCAGTGCCTGTACCCTGGTAATTTAAGGCACAAAAGTATGTTGAATTCATGGAGGGCTGCTGCAGTTAGAGCTGTTAGAGCTGTGAATGCCACCAGCTAAATGAACCCGCTGAAGTTGCTGCAAGCCTTGTGGGAGTTGGACTGACTTTGCATGGAAGCAGACCCGGGAGCCCTCACATGCTGAGCTGTGCTGGTGAAGTTTCCAGCTCACACGTACTGATAACATCTGAATATGGGAGGTGAGGAGTGCTCTTTCCAACTCCATCATGACCCACTGGAGGACAAACACCCAACACCTAAATATGAGACTTTGACAAAGCTGACGTTCTCCAGGATAAAAGGGACTGTCATGATGGCATCTGCATATGAATTGCACTGTAGTTGTTTTTTTGCATTCATAAAACCTTTCTAATAGCTGGTATTTACTGTGATTACTCATTAAAGGTTAACAGCACCCTCTCTTACGTGTGCAGGGATATTTCTAGTCTCTGCTCTTCAATCTTGTCTTTGCCTATAGCTCGTGTATTTCTGGATGTTCTTATCGTGGTCTCATCACACTGCTCATTTCAGGCACTTATCTTCCACTCCAGCTCATCTGGCTATAGGAAACAAAACATTAGTCTCTAAAAAGCCAGTTGAAAACTTGGTCACATGGGAATAACCTGAACTCTTTTACCGCTGGGGCTTGTGCCAGCTGGACCTGGATATTTTCCATTGAAAACAAGACATTCAATGATAAAGTTGTGCCCAAGGACATTTGCGTGAATGCTTTTTGTAGTAGGAAGTCATCTCTCCTCATCGCTTGGTGTAGGCAGTAAAGGGAGAGCAATAATTTCAGTTTGCAGTAAATTTTCTGCTCTGTGATGGGTAAAATGGAAGTTTCCCAGAGCTAAACAGTAATTAGCAGCTGATAAAATCCCCCTCACATCCTGCACTTTCTTTCATGCAGCATGAATATTAAGAGCTGCTTATCAAGCTTAGTTCCTGATTAATATTCTCCAGTTTGTATAGGCCTGCTTCTTGCTTCTCTGAAGAAAGATTGATTTTCATATGCATCATAGACTAAAAAATGATTGGATTTGTGAAATTAAAAGTTGAACTTTATTAGAAGCTGGAGCACCCAGTAATTGTGCAGTGAGTTGTTTGTAATTTGCACTTCAATTAGTATTTATTTTGAAGGACTTCTTTTTGTTAAGGATTTTTGAGGGGAAGCATTTGAATAGTAGCTGTGTTTGACTCCTTTAAGGCCATGATCATGGCATATACAGAAAGCAGATCTTTTTTACCTTAAGGAATTAATTATTATAGTAATTTTTAATTTGCAGTCACGATTCCAGTTTAGTGCTGTGCATGTATTGACCGTAGGAAAACACTGTATTTACAGCGTACTTGCAAGAAGAGCTTGCTCCAAGACATGTGAGATGCTTTGATTTTTGTCTTCTATCAAGAAACAGAGTGCTGAGACCTGGGACTGTTGTGGGCAGGGACCAGCTGCGTGCTGGAGCTGTGGCTTGTGTAGCTCAGTTCTAGGAAGCTGTTGGATGCCACAGAAAGCCCTCCCTTGGCCCCGCAGGCAGCGAAGCTGGGCCAGCGGGTGTTCAGGGCTTTCGAGCGTGGGACGGCTGTCCGTATTTATCTGATATTTCCTGCTGCCTCCCTGTCCCGTTGCGTTTGCATGACCTCGGGCTCCCCCAGGACTGCTTTTCCCTTTCTCCCCTGGGACATCACTGATCGCTTTCACAGTGACCCTTTTAAGATCTGAGCAAAAAAAAAGAAAGACGAGGTAAGCTGATGTAATGTTTGCTGCTCATGGAGAGGTTACGGGTCTGACTAAGGCAGTAGAAGCGAATAATCACCAAACTCTGATCTCTGAGGGAGAGAAATGTGATACCAAAGTCTTTTGAAACCTCTAGACCTTGCTTTTAAAGTGTGGCATTTTTCAGATCTTTTTCAAGCTAACGGTTATTTCCCATCATTTGAAATGGTGGCTGTCAAGAAGCAATTTGATTTACGTGAAGAAGCAAAGAAAATCAATAGCCATTTCACATTTTGCACCTGCAACCCACCAAGCACATTTTGAGCCCATTAGTTTCTTGCTTCACAGAGCTCTGGGTTATGATTAAAGGCTTTTCTCACTCCTGCTATGATCTTCCCATGAAATAAAAAGTCAGTGCATCTGCATGCTGCCCAATTCATCACTTGCTAAGCTTGAAGACACCTAAGGCTCAAAAGTATCTAATTGCTGTTTTGAATGTGCAGCAAAATCCTGGCTTGACTGAAGTCAGTGCCAGCTTCCTTCCTGCAGAGCCTGGATTTCAGAGCTGGGGTCCTTCTCCAATCCCATACCCTGTGCCAAACACATCCAGCTTCTTGACCAGAGCATGCCTTTGCACCCAGCTCTGCCCGGTCTCATATGATGGGGGTGTTGTGTCGCTTACTGCACCACTGGATGATGCTGGACTCTTAAAGCAGGACTGACTCCTGTCTGGACTAAATCCTGATCTGTTAGACTTGTAGGCTGTTAAAATTTTGGGGGATACACAGTTTTTGTGGATACTGAAGAGTAGCATGGGGAAGCCTGCAGTGCCATGAATATCAGAAAGCCTGGAGCCTGTGGCATATGTGTTTTGTTTCTAGCTTCTTGGAGAAAAAATGCATTATTAACGAAAAAATACAGCCTTTATTTGCATGTACAATATGTTTCTCCTATCCCTGTCTTGTCCCCTTTGTGAGAACCCAGGGCCAGAATTACAGTATCTGAAGTTGCTTTTGGATCCCAGTCAGCTCCCATCTGTCATGATCTGTTTTTAATTGAATGGGTTTTCCATCTGAAAGTAGCTGTTGGATGGAGAATGAGTAGAAATATTTGTGTTGTGAATTAGCTCAGAGTGAAGCTACAAACTTTTTTTTTTCCCCTTCACAACAAACACATGGAAAAATATTCTTCAGTGTAGTGTGGCTAGCCTGAAAATTGGCAACAACAGCTTCCTTCCCAGGCTCCGACTCCTCTGCCTTGTCTGCATGGACAAGGTCTTTAAAGGGGACCTGAAATCTTCATCTTACACAATCTTATCTCCCATCCATGTCACGCTTGTGTGTATGCATACTGTGGGAGGGAGGTTGAGTGGCTCCGTTTTGCAGGAGAAATGTAAGACACAGCAGAGGTTTAACCTGGGTTTGCTGAGAGATGTCTTCTTGCCGCTAGGCTCTTCTTTGCCAGCCTTGATTGTCTCTGGTGGGAGCAGCAGATAGGTTTGATAGGATAACTGAGTCAAATTCAGTCAAATTAGTCATTAGCCTCAGTGCTCTAGGAAAGTTCCCAGATCTCCTTAACAGCCTGTGCTCAGTAGGTCTGGTTCCTTAATGCCATGAAACTGGGCTGCAGTAGATGGGGAGCCTGGGGATTGAATATGGTCTAATAAGCAGAGAGGAAAGCGAGGCTGTGGGACCTCTGTGGTTGGCACCTCTCTCCTACTGGGGAAGAAGAAGAAGGAAGAAATCCCTCAGCAGTCCTTGGAAAGGCATTGTTAAGGCTGTTCTTCAACATCCCTCCAGGGGTTTTCATGCAATACCCTTTATCATTAAAAGCAGAGAAGCAATTACCCTGCATCAGTGTCATGGAAGATGGGCCAGTGTCCTTGGGGAGATGAAGAGGAAGGTGATGCTTATCCATCCCCCTGTGCTAGAGACAGCTTCGCTTCTGCATCCATGACAAAAGAGAGAGTTACTGCAGCACTGGGGCTGAGGGAGGAGGGATGCTTTCCTGTTTCTTATGTCAGATCCTTGTCTTGCTCCGTATGTGAAACCTGGAGATTGCTTTAAAGACCCAGGAGCTAGCCTAGTTGTGATTTCCATTAGACTTGCATTGTACAGTCACCAACAGTGACTTTGTCTTGTGTTTGCTGAAGTCGTGTGTATCTGTCATCAAGGCAGAAGGACCAGCATTTGCTTTGAGTGTATGAGAGTAGAATCTGGCTCATTTTTACCTTATTTTTCTTATTTTTTTTTTATTCTTTTTAATGTTTTGAGGTCAAAAGGAAACACTTGTGGTTTATATATGTGTGTGTGTGTGTGCGTGTGCCTGTGCATATTTTTATCAACTTTTTATCACAGCTTCTGGCAAAACAGTGTTTCTGTAAGATGATGTGTTTGGAGGATGGAGTGGGGCTGAACAGGGCAAATCCTGGGCTTGTTCTGGGCTTTTGTTTTTATTTCCACTGATGTAACAAAACAGTGCCACTTGTGCTGACCTGGTTTACATCACCTTCAAATCAGTCTGATAGGTGCCAAAGGTGCTGAGTGGTACGATGTGGCTCAGCCGTGGCTGTGTGCTGTGGGGTTGAGTGTTGTCACACCTGTATGGATGTGTGTAAGCAGCTGTGTTGCACAGCTGTAATCTGACAGCTCCCCAGGTGCTGAGTTCTGTTTGACTTTCCTTGTTTTACCTAGGAAGGGCCATAGGCACATCTCCATGTACAAGGAAAACCTGGAGTATGGGATAGGAGATCAGCAGCTCATGGTGAGCTGTTGCTTCAGGGGTAGAATCATTCTCCCAGCCATGCCTGCAGCAGCTCCTGGGACCCTCCAGATGGGTAGAGGTAGAGACCAGAGTGTGCTACCAGGGAGGAGCGAATGTGCCATCACTCCAAGCTTTAATCCCAGGGAGAGCAAAATCAGTGGGAGCTGGGGATGGGGACAGGTGAGAGAACACTGGGTGCTCTCCTGAAATCTCTGCTAAAGGCTGCAACAGGGCAACAGCTTTAATTCAGTCTAGTGCTGCACCCAGGGCTATTTTCCTCATTGTGAGCACCAGTGAGACATGGAATTAACCTAAGCTGACTTCAGCCTTTGTATGTATCCTGTGTTTCATGGCCCACGTTGACTTGTGTTTTCTTTTCCCTGAACAGGTCTATATCATCAACGTAACATGGTCTGACCTGACTTCCCAGATCATCTATCGGAGATACAGCAAGTTCTTTGACCTGCAGGTAAGTCTGTCTTGTCTAACATAAAATATTACTTCCACTCACTTCTAGTCGCATTTCCAGCTGGGTTAATAGGGCCTTTAAATAAAGCTTTGTGTGTGTTTGGTCTGTTACATGTCATGATCTTGAAACTTTTCAGACTCTGTCCTTGTAGGGTGTAAGATAAGTGGGTGGTATGCTCACAGCAAGTAACTTGCACTGTAAAGACATTTAAAGCTGACATTTTCATGAATGGTTCCCATTGAAGAGGGGATCTAATTTTAAATACTTCAAATGCACTTAGAACAGAAAGAGAGCTACATTCTGGGCCCCCAGAAACTACTTCCCCAAATCACTGAGAACAGCAGAGCTTTTGCACACTCCCACAGCAGTTTGGTAATGGAGATGGTAGTGGAAACCTTCCAGACTCTCCTCCTAATTGTCTACCCAGTCAGCTGGTGTCCTGGCTCCTGCTGTTTTGTACAGCTCCTTTGCTGTATCCTGTGCCTGTATATTTAGATTTCATAGAAAGCTTTCTTGCTGGATAGCTGCTGACCAAAGTCTGAAGCCAGGAAATAGGAAAAGTCCAGATTACAAAGTTTCAGTGTGAGCATCTTCATTTCTGGTCCTGCTTCCAGGCACCTGCATGGGTATGGAGAGCTTTCTGGCTCAGGACTATTTAGCAATAATCCATGTCCATTGATACCTTTGTATCATCATACCTCTGTAGGCAGAAAAGCTGTAATTGTCTGGGCTGAAAGCAAAAGCTGCGGTTTGTCAGACTCCTGAACTTTGGGGGGAATGTTGATTTTGGGCTGAAGGTGGTGTTTGGAGCTGGGCTGTGGTTAAGTATCAAGTGAGTCCTCACAGCCAATGTTAAGGATGTACACAGCTGACTGTCTTGGAAAATAGCATTAAGCCTTTTTGCCATGATAAATTAGGGAAAAAAGAGTTCTTTCCTTGGATAGCTGATCTGAGATATCTTTAAGAGTCTTACTTTCACCATTGCTCTCCTTTATGTGCCATTTCTGATACTTGGACATCTGAAGTCTCTAGCCTGTTCTGCAATCTGTATCGGTTATGGCCTCCTGGTAGGAAGCTTTTCTGGTAGGAAACGGGACCATTTCTGTGGCCAGTCCTGATTTCTGTGTTTGCTGTGTGGCTGGAAGACAAAGGAGAGATGCTTCTCTTATTCCCCTCTCCACTTCTTACTGGGCTGAAGTGCCAGGCTTGCCAGTCCTACCGCTGTGTAGACTAAATCAGTGTCTAATGTACCTGCTAAAGATGCACAGCTCCGTAATCACACACAGTTGTTGTCAGCATGCAGATTGTGGCCAAAGCTGTTTCTTTCTCTCTTCTTTTAATTTTTGCCCCAGTTCTGTTTTCATGTATATGTTCTTCTGGGTCTCCTGGCCTTTCCTGGTAGGTTTGAAAAGTTCCCATCAAGCACGGAGTTATCAATGGGGTTAGTGTGTTGGACAGGAAATGATGTCTCAATCAGGGAGTGAGTCCTGAAAGGTCCCATTGATAAGTGCGAGGGGGCCTAGCGCCAGTGGAAAACTCTCGCTTGCACAACGCTTCTCCCCCCACGAGAAAATACGACAAGAAAGTAACAAAATTCCCTTTCTTAACCCTTTTCTCTCCCAGGAATCTCTGTCAGGGCCACCACTGCGTTAGCAGTGACGGCTCTCTGCAATAACCACTTTAGCTCTTGCAGCGTTAGGTGCACAGTTAGTGAAACTGAGGTCTTCACCTGGGGTTTCTATGGCCTTGTCATGTCTCTGTAAGCATCTTGCTGTGGCAATCTGTGCCTCAGTTTCCCAGCTGTAAGATGGGGACAAGGTCCTGTGTGTATATGGAGCAAATTTCATCCATATAAGGGATGATCTGTACTTTAAAGATTTTTTTGGTGTAACCTAGCACTGGTTGGACCTGGGTTTTGCGACCTGATACGATGCATGGTAACGTGGCCTTAGCATAATCAATCTACTTTGGTAGTGTCCCTGCTTATCATTATGTGTCTCTTGAAGCAGAAAATCAAGCAAATACTCAGTGAGTGATGCTCAGCCAATTCACAGGCACCGCTCTTGTCCAGAACAGCTGGAGTCTGCAGGTCCCTGCCAGCTCCACTCATCCCACTGTGCCCACGACTGAGGGGCACTTCAGGGCTTCCAAAGCCTGCACGTGTCTTATTTGCTTTTGACTTGAAGTGGAGGAACAAGGATGGACTTGTAATGACTTAATCAGGGCTGCAGTGCCTGGTGTTGATAGTGACACTGGATAGGACCCACGGGGAAACACGGGGGGAGGCTGCCCTAATTGCCCAGAGGCAGCTGGGGAGGAATACAGATAATTAATTTCACTACTGCAATTTCATGTTTCTTTAAAAGAGAGCCCACCCTGCCCCGAACGTTTCTGTCTGTGGGAAGTGGCTCAGTGGTTTTGAGAGCCCTTCCATTACAAGATACTGGGGTTTCTGAAACACTTCCTAGCAAATCCTCTTAGGCACTGCAGTCAGTAAGAGGCTGCTCTGTCCTAAGGATTCAAATCCCAGAAGTGTTTGGTTGTGCTGTTTCAGCAGTACACACACTTGAATTGGGAGTGAGGTTGCTTTCAAGATGAGTAATGGGCAGCGAAACTAGACATACCGTGGGGTTTCAAAGCTGGAGTTTGCCCCACAAAGGCATGAGAAGTACAGCAAACAGAACCCAATGCAACAAGCCTAGGCTTAGTGCCAGCCCTGTGCTGCTTCAGTGAGGGTTAGAGATCTGAAAGTACGGGCTTAACTTAAATCAGGGTGCTGCTGCATCATTTAGTTGTGCAACCAGGTCACGTCTGCTGCTGTGCATGGGTCAAATGATGGCAGCAGAATAGACGTGGGTGCCAGTGTCTCAGTAAATAGGATTGAAAGAATTGAACTAACTCTGCATAGATTAAAGCACTACGATAAATTGCTTGTCAAGTCCACTTATCTGTTGTCTGTCAGCCTGGGGAGGCATTTGCACCTGAGCACCACATGGGGTCAAAGCCATCTCCTAATGTAATACTTTAAGTGCTGCTTTCTCATGCACTTGCCCACAGTGCAGAACGGGGGAGTATGAGGAGCCCATCACTAGGAGAGCAATGTGAGCATCATCTGTGGGTACTGATGACCCTCATGACAGGCTGGTGGCCCACTGAGGCACATTTCCTGGATGCCATTTGAGGTCTTCCATTATCGCTGATTGTTTTACTGGTGGTGGCAGCAGAATCCTGTTCTGAGCTGACAGTTCAGCAGTGCTACTGTTGTCCCCAAAGGAGCTGAGAAAGGACACATTGGGATAGCAGGGATAACTCCTGGTGTTTCCATTCTGCAGTAAAAGGCATCTACAGATGTGAGGCCCATATTTTTCTTTCTGGAAAGTGCCTTTGGAGGCCCTTAACCCTTTTCTCCCCCAGGAATATCTGGATTCACAGTTGAGCATGTGTGTAAGGTGGAGAAGGGTGGGGATGCAGCCAGCTCACCCTCCCAGTGGCTATGATGGGCTGGAAATTGCAGTTGGCAGGTGTGAAGGGTGCTCTTTCCCCACTCCCTTCCACTTGCTGAGCTTCCACAAGCTCACTTGGGCTTTTACAGGTACTATGAGCCCAGCTGGTTGTTGCCCCTCGCTGCTGAAAAGCCCTCTCCCCAGCAAAGTGAACAGGGAAAATGGCCAAGGGTCAGTGCCTGGTGTCTTAGTTTGAATCACCAGTGGCTCATCTTCTGCATTTTATGCAGCAACTCCAAAAGTTCTGGTCGAGTTTCATGCCTGTGTTATCTGGTGCCTGGAGTCAGAGTATGAATAGGACCACAGCCTTGACAAAGGGACCAAACCCTACGCTCAGATGCCAGCTCCTCCATTGCTCCCATGAGGATGGCTGGGTCTCTGTGTGTGGAGCTGTAGGAGGATCCTTTCTCAAAACAGCAAAGTACAGCTTTCTCCAAGGCAAAACACAGCAGCTGGCTGTAGCGGCGTGCCATAATCCCACGTTGTGTTTCTGACTGCATGAGAGGCAAACGACGTCCCCGCTGGAGCCACGGCAGGAATGTTAGGTAGGCAGATCCCCGTCTCTGTGCACAATGACCCACACAGACATTTTGGCTGCCAGGAGACATCTGAAATGTCACAATTTTGAAAAGGCAAATAAACAATGCTCTGTTCACGCGTTTGCTTTGCGTATCGGTTAGCAAAAAGCTGTCTGCTGCTGTGGTGTGCTGATCTAAGCAGGTTTTCTTCAAAGTGGGACAGAAAGAGGAGCTCACTAGCAGCCAATTAGAACATGAAAAATAAAGAATATCAAGAATTTTATTAGGGAGTCGAAAGAGATGTAAGTTGTTTTCAGGCGGACGATAAAACATCAAGAGCTTCATTTGTTATTGCTAGGGTCATCCTGATTGTTTATAGTGCTGTAATGGAGTAACTGAGCATTGAAGGGGATATTAAACAAAAGTGGTGCTTTAAAGAACAGGAATTGCAGTCTGTATCGCTGCTTTTCTTGGTCAGACTGGGAATCGTCTGAATGCTGCTGCTATTGATCATTCTTCTGTTGCATCCACCTCTGTACAAACATCCCTTTCTCTGTTATCCCAAGCTGTATCAAGTATTGTAATGTCCACTCTCATTTGCAGTCAGGTGGTTGTAACTGCCTCATGCCTGAGCACCCTGTATTTCATTGGGTTGCTATGATTTGTGAAACAGGACCTTGGTGGCTTGGGGATGCAGGCTTTCTGGGGCAGAGCAGAGGGGGAATCAGTGCAGGGTGCTTGCAGAGTAGGTATGTGATGTGGTTCTGATGGACTGATGCGATTCTTAGGGACTGTAGTGATAGAACAGGGGGTAACGGGTCCCCTTAAACAGGGGAGATTTAGATTAGATCTAAGGAAGAAATTCTTTACAGTGAGGGTGGGGAGGCGCTGGAACAGGTTGCTCAAGGAAGTTGTGGGAGCTCCATCCCTGGCAATGTTCAAGGCCAGCCTGGATGGGGCTTTGAGCAACCTGGTCTAT